CTAACATCATGTTGGCGATGACTAGTTTCCACGATATAAATATATAATAATAATTTATTACCATGCTCGTTTCCATTTTCCATATTTTTGTGTACAAAATGTCTATCAAAAGGCCACATAGACAGTGCCGTAATTTCAGTTTTCATTAGAGGGGGGCAAAGGTTTTGACCGACCCGAATGGGTAAAGAAAAAACCGATATCTTCGATCTCTTCGTACTTCATGACTCGTGTGGACTACAGCGGCTATCAAAAAAAAATAAACAAGGAAACAGTCACTAAATGTTGGGACGGGGTTTAGACGAAGAAAAAATAACTCTCAAATAAGCATTGCAGTTAGAGAATAGACTTAAGACATTTTGTCTCAATAAGAGTGATGCGGTTTCGTTGTCATTATAGTATAGTTAATCAACTCCGGTCTAATTTTGAGGAAATTGCAATACAAGAAATAAAACAAACTAAAATGTCAGATTATGTTTTTTTCAATAAGTAATTTTTTTACAATATATTTTGTTACGTCTAAATAGTTGTGAAAAATTATGTAATAATAAACCTTAAGTAAGATATATTTTTTTAAAAAGTCAATAAAATCTAAAGTTTCGGACATAAATACATACATATTATTGTAACGATCTGGTGGCTTGGTACCTACTATCGTAGTGCTGACAGTAGATATAAGTGGCTACCAAGATGTTATAGATGCAAGTCGCAGACACTTTATTTGATGCTGAAGTCGTGGTTGATGAATGAATAATAAGACAGTTGTTGTATATTGTGAATTTTATTATAACGTTCGATAATTTTCCAAGTCCAAAATAATATTGTACAAAGTGACGTGAAGGTGCTTGCTCTAATGGGTGGTAGTACACGTCTGAAAACAGGCCTATTCGGGCTTCCTTTTATATGAGGTTCCCCGTACCCCTCGCCTACATATACGATATCTCGGTTCTCACGGATGTGATTTGTGTGCTCATCATCCTAGCCCACGCATTTACGATTGACTGTGTTACCAAACTATGACTATTATTAAAATAATCATTTTACTCTTTTTTTTTATTTGAATTCGTCGTGTACAGTGTTTCTGTAAAATATTATAGACGCCTATTTTTGAACCCCTCGTCCTGAGTTATTCAGTGGTTTTGTCTCATTATATTTAACAGAAGGAGACCCAACCACTTTCTTGTAATATTTGTTTTAGGCCGTTCTACAGTATATTTAAACTAACTATGCACCCGTGAAATTGGTAGTGTTTCTGTAAAATGTTACAACGCCTATTTCTGAACCCTAATTGTCTTATTACCTGGTTATGCCGGTCTATCGTATATTATAGTAATAACTATGTACTCATGAAATTGGTATTACTCCGTAGTAACTGGCTTACTACATTATTTTATTAATTTTTCCCAATAGCGGACACCTCTCAACAGAGAACAAATTTGTCGTTCCCATGAGTGTCCGCTATTCAGAGGTTTTACCGTATATTCAACAGGTAACATAGGTGCAAACATTGGGGGGGGAGGGGATTTAGACAGCTCCATATAATAGGAGCCTCGGGGCGTGCAGGGTATATCACGAAGCAGCACCAAGCCAAAATAAATATGAATCAAAAAAATATGATTTCTTCTTTTCAAAAAAAAAAAAAAAACTATTTTCTATATTTTAAATTGAAACTTTCTAAACTGCAGTTTTCAAAAAATGTCAAGTACCTAAATGCATATTCTTTTAGTACATATTTGGTTGTTTTCTGAGTGTATTTTAAACTGTACTAGGTGTTTGTAGATTTTAAATTAATTTTTTTCTTATAGTTTCGTAGTGTATTAAATTCACAGCAATAGTGACACTTTGAAAATCAAATCAAAGTACCTACGTACAATTTTAAGCGTCTCTGCTTTTTATTTATTAATTTTAACGATATTAATATGTCTAAGTAGATACAAATATTCATAATATATTGTCGCGTAAAAGGGAGCGTGTGTATTGGACCCCCCCCCCCCTCAAGTTTTTAGCGTGATTAAAATTATGTATATTCTGAACACAACTTCTGGCTCCACTTGTATTCACCAAAAAACACAGATGATTATGTACCTATACTCTAACCTTTAAGTTTTAAAATTGGTCAAATGACTTATTCTAATATTAAACAGAGCTGCAATGCAAAATCCAATTGACTGATCCAAATTTTGCCATTTGGTACGTTTGTACGACGGAAACAACTCATGTGGCGTTTCTACCTATTCAACACGTCTAAAAACAATAGTAAAATAAAAATCTCATTTCTTTTCAGAACAATGAAATTAATTTAACAGCTATTTTCAATAGGACCGTTAATATTGTTAAATCGCGTAAATTATAAAATAGAGTGCTTACAACATAATATTATTATATAAACTTTATTTAAACATATTTCAAGTCTCAAAGCGTAGTAAATCTCGAAATTATGTTTTTAATTTTCTCATAATATGTTCGTTTAGTTTTCTGCTTAATTTGTCAAAGCGCCAAGACGTGTAAATTAATTTTCGTCGCATGCAACTTTTAATTATTATTATTTTTTACTCCGTGTTTAGTTTAAAAGTTGAAAGCTGGTTGTTGAAAGTGAACCGATGTAAATTTCCGGGGACATTAACATGTGTCACAGTTTGAGTAGGTACGTCAAAATGAAAAACTTCTTTTTTTTTTTTTTTTTTTTTTTGTAACGAATTGCTCATTAAATAAAATAAATGTAAAATGCGTGACTTTGTTAAATTGTATTTTGTAATCAAATAAATGACTTTAATTAATGAAATTGTATGACGTATGATATTACATAATATTATGTAACTTAAACGAAAAAAATTTCAACTTTTTAAGGTAGGTATTTATAGTTTGATCGAATTTAGTGATGCAGGGGATCGATATAATTCTATATAAAATATAATATTATAATATCATATCGATATTAAAATGTGTAATTGAGAGACGGAGTATAAATTGTATAAAAAAAAAACTATAAAAAGTATTCAATTGTTTTGTAAACGTTAAAACCGTATCCATTTGATAAATTACAGCTGATAAATAATATGATATTATAATGCTTTCGTAATTCGTAGTGTTTTGTGCTGCAGCCATATTAATATTAATTTGTTCATTTGCATTTATATCCATATTTTAATCCGTTCCCTCGTTAAATTTCGTGACATTCACATCATTTTCGTCGACCATTCAGAGTTTAGTTGTTTTGTAACAGTTTACGACTAATGCAATTATCACGGTTATTTCATTATTTGATAAAATAATTCGATCCATCAAACGGGCAGGTCAAATTAAACGAATTAAATGTTTTATACAATCTTTCGTAAATAATTTAATGGTATATAAAAAAAAAATCACCGTTTGCATAAACTGATTATTAAATAATTTTCTATAATAGTATAATATAATAATATATTACCTACTTTGTCCGTAGCGATAAATTCTTCTCAGCTTTTTTTTTTTTTTAAACTTTTTATTATAATCGACTGCGATCGGGACTCGGTTTAGATTATGGATGGACCGAAATTGAATAACCGTATTCGGACTAAAAGACAGACTCTTTAAATTCAATGTCCGTTGTAGGTACCGTCCTTTAGTGCTTATGGTCCTCTTTTCACTGTATACTAATTGAGTCCCTATACCTGAACGGGAAAAAAAATAATGTACTAATTGAGTCCCGGGTACAAACGAAACATATACTAATTGAGTCCGAGGATTATTTTGAGTAAAATATAAAATAACCATCCAGAGTCCAGACACAGCGAAAATTATACCACACAGCCGTGTCGCGCGTCAAAAGCCGGTCCACACGGATATACCTATATATATTATATACATAACATTCATATCATTTTTATGACTTTCGTCAGATAATATAGTAACATATTATACTATGGGCCGGGAATTTTAATAATTAATTCAAGAAATTGTATAAAAGAAAAAGAAAAAGAAATCAGCCATCAAATGTAGCTGTTTCAATCGAACACAATAAGTAGATTTGAATATGTACAATGCTTATCCCATAAATTCTTACCAATATAAAAATGTTATTTTATCATTATCTACATTTATTTAATTATACACAAATTATTCATATTATATTATACCCCTACATTATTATATATTTATATTATAAAATATTTAAAAAAAAAAAACATTTTTAACCATACCTGTAGAATTTTTTGTTACAGACAGTCCTAAGTCTTTAAAAATGGGAAGGAAAATGTTTTTTTTTTTAAATTTTACGGGACTCAGTTAGTATTAAAACACGGACTAAATTAGTATTATACCTACAATTTCACTGGACTCAATTGGTTTATACCCTAAAACAACCCGGGACTCAATTCGTCATAAAAGGTTATACTGGGACTCAGTTCGTATGCAGCCCCTCTTTTATCTAAAAACAATAGTACAGGTCTAATTATTACTATACCAAGTTTAATACACGGTGTTTCAAAAGTCTTCATCCGATTACGAACTGATATAGTTCGGCAACGGTTAATCGCTGCAGGTTAATGACCACAATGGAAAGATCGGATAAGTGAAGTTTATTTTAAGTTATCTAGTTGATAAATTTGGCGCCTTAATGGTTAGTGAACTAGGAACCCTTAGTCCGTTTCGTTATGGCGACTCCGCAACAGAAAGCGTTTTGGGCAATAAGTTTCAATAATTGCTCAAAGCATTCGACGTTGGCACCGAACGTTCCAATAGAAAGTGGTTGTCTGTGTGCTTAGAAACCCCCGGATCGACCTCTGACGAAAAAATCAAGCATGTTCGATGAAGTTTCGTTCGGAGACCACAGAAGTCTACACGTCTTGCAGGCCTAGAGCTAGATGTCCCACACGTCAAACGGTCGAATGCTTTGAGCAGTTGTGGAGCTTCAATTCCATATATTATGTTCTTCGAAAATCACGTTGAACGGTCATTAGTAATAAAGTTATTAGGCTGCAATTTATTATTCTGATCATTTTCAAGATTTTGGTCACATAGTAAATATGTTTGACAAAAACGAGGCGGTATCCATACAAATTACGCAAAATTTAGTTCAAGATCCAAATTTAACTAGTGATCTTGCTTATATAAAATCGCACTTTAATTTTTTGCCGAGTAGCATAACTTTATTAGAAAAAAAAATAAATACATCTTTTAACGATTCAATTAATTTGATGAAGAATGTTGAAAATAATATTTCCAAAATACCAAACGGAAACGTCGGAAAAGCAATTCAAGACAAATTTCAAGCTGTTTTAAAGAAAAATAAAGGCTATGAAACCTTGAAAAAAATCTCTGCTTGTATTGATGGAACAAAATATGAAACTTTGGAAAATATGGAACAAAATTTCAGCCCAAGCGACGTATCTCTTTTTAATTACGCTCCCGTCACATCTGTCGACGTAGAGAGGAGTTTTTCAAGGTACAAAAAGGTATTGGCTGATAATCGACGAACTTTCACATTTGAAAACCTGAAAAAAACATTCGTGGTACAATGCAATACGAATGCTTTTGGTATGTTTTAATTTTCGTTTAGTCACATCATTTATTTAATAAAAATATTTTAATTTAAATTTTTCAGATTGAAATTACAAAATGTTGAAACTAAAAAAATGAATCAAAAAAATATAGTATAATTTATTTGAACATAATATAAAAATAATGAAATAAAAATCTTTTTTCATCAATTTTTGTGCATATTTTTCATTTTATAGGGTATATTTCTATAAAATAAGAGCATAAATGCATATTTTATAGTGCATACTTCTTAGGTTTTTAGAGCATATAAATCCGGGCCCTACTTATTACCGATTCGCACTTGTTGAAACGTAGGACGCAAAACGCTTTCAGTTGCTGAGTCACCATAAACTAAGGGTTCCTAGTTCACTAACCATCAAGGTGCCAAATTCATCAACTAGACAACTTAAAATAAGCTTCGTTATCTAATCTTTCCATTAATACATTGGCCATCAAACATGCGATTAACCGAACTATATCAGTTCGTAATCGGATGAAGACTTTTGAAACACCGTGCATATCTAATAACTAGGGCTCGGATTTATATGTAAATACATATTTTCTCTGCGACATGATAAACTAATTTCGGCAAGTGATAAATTCGTTTCACAATATTTTTGATAAGATAAGCTATATTTGATTTTACATATTTTTACATATTTTGTCATAAATACATGTTTTTACATATTTCACAATTATTCAATTTTTTCTCACATATTTAGACAATTTTACGGTTTTAACATCTTTTTTCAGAGTTAAGAAATATTGAAAGGTTATCATGAGTACCTACCTAAGCCATTAGCCAATACTTAATAGTTCACGGCTAGTATAATATCGTGATGTCGGCGGAGTCCACCGGACGTATTTTTGACGTGTATGATAATCGATTACAAATTACCATTACACTCAACCTGTTATATTTTCAATTATTTCTAGATACGATTTTATCAATTGAAATATTAGTATTACGATTAACTCATTTTTAAATACTTTAAACATGAACGAGCGAACACTGCGATAAGTGTGTACTTTTTAATGTGACATCGTATAGTGTGTGTTTCGTGGCCTCGTTGTTCGTTATATTTTACGTGTATATTACCAATAATGCCAAAACTCAAAAGTACGATCGTCTATAAAACTTGCAAAGCAATAAAATATGTTTCTGAATATCCAAATGAACATTTACAAAGTGAAGGTCACATTTTGTATTGTACTGTGTTTTTTTTTTTTTTTTTGATAATACATATTTTGAATTCTTTAGCACATATTTTTGTTGTGTAAATACATACTTTGGTTATATAAATACATATAAATCCGAGCCCTACTAATAACTATCTTCTTTGGCCCCTCGATTACCTTATCGTAAATAAAAAGAATAATATAGGCACTATTTGCTTCCGATGCGATCAGGAGGTTCGTAATAATTATAAATACGAGTTGCCTCACAAAAAATATTCAAATCAGTTGCCTCCCATATAGAAATAAGAAGTGGTTCATAAAATTATATTATATACTACGTGTCACGTGAATAGAGAAATGTATGTATACCTACATTATACATCAAATATTGTGTTATAATTATAAAAAATGTAATTTACAGCAACATAAATTTAACATAATATTATAATAAACACCAAAGTAGAAGAACTACATGTTAAAATTAAATTATTCATTACATTTTTTTTAGATATTTGTACGGTTAAAAATATCAGTCTTATCCATTATAGAGGTGTATATTTTATTAACATTTATACAAATACCGAATAAGCAACAATTAAAAATAATAATATTATAATTAGTCAATAAAAAAAAACATTAGGTACATAATATTAAATATTATAGGTGATAAATAATTATGAACATTTAAAATCGTTGAGCAATCACTTAAAAAATGTATTACCTGCCCATTGGGAAGCAACTAGTAGTAGACCAATTTTCGTTTACGATAACCATTGTTTCTCGTATATATTGGCAATTCGTATAAGAATTATTATATCGACCTTTTTAACTTTGGGATGAGGCAACTAGTGGTATGCGCCATTTGACCTATATGGACTATTCAGATATGGAGCATCGAATAAAAATAAAATCCAATAGTGTTGCACTTCAATCTCCAATGCTCCTTCGGAAATTTTCAACATACTTCATCTCTGCGTGGATATAATGTCATAATGATTTTAATATGAAAAATTTTAATGAAGAAGCTTCATTTTTACGCGTTTTCATTATAGTGACTTCAAAGTATTCCCGATTCCGTTATGACAAGGAACTCTCCACCCTATAATACCACCCTTATTATATGACATTTGATGCCCGCGTGCGTACTTTCAGTGATTAGTCCTTTTAATCTAAAAATAATAGTACCTACCGGTCTAATTATCACTACTAAATCATAAAATTCTCCATTAGCCTATTTAGATTTGTGGACCTCAGCTCTGGAGCACGGCGAAAAAACCTAATACAAATGAAATTCAAGTGTTCCAAAACATTGCACTTCGACGAATCTCCAATGCTCCACCAGCGTATATCTTCAAATGACTCTGCACAAAGATCTTAATATGAAAACTTTTGATGAAGAAGTACGTGGTTCTTTTGTATACGCGCTTTCACGAGTGACTTCAAAGTCATCCCAATTACCTTGTAATTAGGATCTTACCACCAGAACACTGCCAGGAAACCCACAGGTTAAAAGTTAAACGTAGTGTCACGACCTGTTACAAATATAATGATAGGTATTCAATCCTTTAACTATAAATACATTGGGAGTTAAAAATAGAAAAAAAATGTAAGTCAAAGATTAAAAAAAAATATATATATAATTAGGTAACCAAGTTGAGCGTCACTAATGCGTGACTTCTTAATCAACCCCTTTCATGTCTATACTTACTCATCTTAGTAGGTATAAACGATAATTATGCATTTCTGTGCACTGCAGATTGTTTATTTTAAATATAAAAAGGTGCTCTGCTGTACAGTAGGTTACAAGGGGGTCAATGTATAATGGATGGTATTAAATTTGAATTAATTGATATATCATTGTATAAGAAAAATGATTCTGACCGGAGACGGTATGTCAGTCTAGGTATAAGACATATTATATACTTATCTATGGTATTAAAAAAAAATTGACTATAATAAATTCCAAATTAATCATATCACAATATCCATTAGGTACTTATAACGCGTTATACATCAACAACAAACCCTGATACTATCATAGATATATAATAGTGTACTTTACAAGTTTCAAGTACCCACGAATAATATAATACAATCACAACAAAATAACTAAAATAGTTATTCTAGGTTTTTTATTATGTAATTTCGTCCAAATTTCAACTTAAAATGACTATAAAAATAAAATTTGCTTATGTATTTTTTAGATTTTTCAACTGATATTGTAACAATATATCAGGAGCCTTGTATTAAATGTCTACACTTTTTGGTACAACAGATAAAACTTTATTGATAATTATAGAAAAAAAAGTCAAAATATATCGTTAAAATATTATGTATAAAATATTTTTCAAAAATAGCAAGCAAAAAAAGTCGCTCTGCTGTACAGTATTTTACAAGGGGGTCACTGTATAATGGATGGTATTAAATTTGAATTCAATGATCTAATATCATTGTATAGAAATAACGATTCTGAGCGGAGACGGTATGTCAGTCTAGGTATAAGATATATTATATACTTATCAATGGTGTTAAAAAAACATTGTACGTTTAATAAATCTCGAATTAATCATATCACAATATCCATTAGGTATTTATAACAGGTTATACATCATTAACAAACCCTGAGCATACTTCTTATTTCTTATACTATGGTAGATTGTATGGATAGGCTAAAATATTTTGATTTTTTGATTTTTCAGTTTCATACATCCCCGAATAATATTTTTAAATTACAACCAAGATCGTTAATATTGATTTAAATATGTAATTTCGTCCAAATTTGAATTTAAAATGTCTGTAAAAAATATTTGTGTACATTTATTTTTAGATTTTTGGTTACAGTATGAACTATTTATGAGAACCTTTGTTTTAAATTTGCAATCCTTAGCTATAAAAACTGAAAATTTTATAATTTGTTAATTACAATATTTAAAATTTTCCGAGATTTTGATAAATTTCGTGAAAATTCGATCATTAAAACCCTATAAAAAAAATTTTGATTTTGATAAATTTTGTCAAAATTTGATCTTTAAATGCTTATAAAAAAAAACTGTGCCTATGTATTTTTAATATTTTTCAATTGCTATTGTAACAATATATCAAGAGCCTTGTATTAAATTTTTTCACTTTTTGGCAAAACAGATAAAACTTAATTGATATTTATAGAAAAAAAAACTAAAAAAATTAAAAACTGAAAATGTCCGTAAACAGCTCAAAAAGAGTCAAAATATTTTCAAAAGTGTATGGTGTATAGGAAATGCTAATATAAACATTCAGTGCAATCTTCATGTGTCTACAGTTATTCGTTTTTGAATTACAACGAATTAAGGAAATCACTATATGAGAAATCGAGTGAATATCCAATGTTGTAAAAATTTGAATTTCAAACGCTCATAGAAATTTAATTTGACTTTCTTATGGACATTTTTTTTTTTGATAAAGGTAGATAATCTTATAAGGAATATTGTATCACATTTTCAAATCTTAGATTTAAAAATAAAATTTGTACTAATTTTTATCTAAAAAAATTTGCTAATTTTCGTGATTTTTCAATATTTTGTCAATTTTCGAACTTTAAATGCTTATAAAAAAAGTATTTTTAATATTTTTTATCTGCCTTTGAAACAATAAACAGGAGCCTTGTATTAAATTTTCAAGTATTTTTACTCAACGAATACATTTTTATTGATATTCATAAAAAAAAACTAATAAAATTGGAAACTGAAAATTTAACTAAGCTGCAGTTCAAAATATATCAAAATATTTTGAAAATGTTATCGTGTAAAATGCAAATATAAACAACCAGTAAAAATTGCATGTATCTGTTTTA